CTCTTCCTTATCTACCTAATCTTCATTTTCCACCACCTTCTCTTTTATTCAAATCACACATCAGCATTTCAATAGCAAAGCTCTAACTCGAACGACCCTCGACACTTATATTGGGTGAATACTAGGATAAAGAATTTGGGGGGAAAAGTAGATATACAGCAGAGACTTTTTCAATTGTGCTATTTGGGGGTGTATGCAACGCGATAATAGATAGAAGCAGGAAAAAGATACAATTTTGGAGGCGTTAATTGTCTAGCACGAATGTCAACTTATTTGTTATTGACATTGCATAAACAATTGATAGATCTTCACGTTCTTTTTTTTTTTTTTCTTTAACAAGGGTTCCTAGAAATTGCTTGCGAAATATTTAATTATGTGGGCTAGTGGGTATTTTTTTTATGTTGTTTGCAGTAAATTCTCGTTTGTATTTCAGAGCGATCGAATATATTAAAATTAGGATACTATGTCCTCTAGGTTTCCTTTGTCGTTTATTTAATGACAATTTGTGCTGATTATACAATATTATAAAAAATTACAGAAACTTCAAACCGAGGTAATCTGTTAAATGTTTCAATTTTTTTCACCCTAGAAGTCTAATGACTTTTCTGATCATCATAGAAATATAATGGAATTCGTCACGGACTCACAATCAGAGAGTATTTACAGGCTACCTTATAAGACGTTCCGATGCATTAGGCGTCCCCCGCCCCCTCCAAAAATTTGAAGAAAGAAATCGTGAAAAAAAGTCTTTTCTTTGTACTTTATAGCCCTCCTTACTATTCCCAATTTTACCCCTTGAACAGCATGAAAACCTGACTAATCATGGATAATCGATCACAGACAGAGAAGTACCTTAATTTAGGGTAACTATCAGGTCATCCCATAAGTTCTGTCCAAATTTTAACTTTTTGTTAAAATGAACGAAATTTAAAGAGTATTTTATAATGCCTAATGGAGCTGAACATTATTTTTATGCTTAGATGTATTTAAACTGATCAAATTTTATTTCAGAGAACAATAAAATTAAATTTTGTTTGATTAAAACCCTGCTAACATGGAAGTACCAAAGAATCATTTCAGGCACATAATGCTTTATGAGTTCAAGAAAGGAAACTCAGCAGCCGAAGCGGCTAGAAACATTCACTCAGTTTATGGAGAGGAATGTGTGAATGAAAGAACTTGCAGAAGATGGTTTGCAAAATTCAGAGTTGGAGATTTCACCCTTGAAGATGAAGATCGAACCGGACGTCCAGTTGAGTTTGATGAAAAGCTTCTTGAAGCAGCCCTTGAAGAAAATCCTGCTTTATCAGTTGAGGTATTGGCAGTGGTTCTCAGTTCAAACCATACAACTGTTCATCGTCATCTTCAACAACTTGGAAAAGTTCCTAAACTTGGAAAATGGGTGCCTCATGAATTGTCTGGAAACAACCTCAAATCCCGAGTTAACATCTGCTCTTCTTTCCATTTTCGCCAACTTGTTTCACCTTTTTTGGATAGACTTGTGACTGGCGACGAAAAATGGATCTTTATCGAAATGTTAAGCGTCGTAGACAGTGGCTTGGTAAAGGGAAGGACCCCAGCCACAGCCGAGAAGGGAACTTCATGGGCAAAAAAGTTCTTCTTTCAATCTGGTGGGATCGCCAAGGAATAATCCACTTTGAATTCTTACCACCTAATGCAACAATTAATGCTCAAATATACTGTCAGCAATTAGAGCGTTTGAACCAAGCTTCGCGGTAAAAAAGACCTGCTCTAGTGAATCGTCACAAAAGATCGAAGAACTTGGTTGGGAGAAAATTCCTCATCCACCTTATTCTTCCGATCTTGCTCCTTCAGACTACCATTTGTTTCGTAGCTTACAGAATCATTTGGAAGAAACAGCTTTTGTAACACAGAAAGAGGTTAAAACTGCCATTTGTGAGTTCTTCGAATCAAAGCCAAAAGAATTTTACAGTAATGGAATTAGTAAGCTTGTTAATAGATGGAAGGAAGTCATAGATAATCAGGGAAAATACATTGTTGATTGAATCTGTAATTAAATGTAATATTTAGTCACTTGTTTTCTTTATTCAAAATTCGGACAGAACTTATGGGATGACCTGATATTTAGAATGTAATAGAATTTACAGTACCGATTAACTTTGAAACTTATCGTAAGTCTGAGTATTCACTCAATCGAAAATACCCAACTAGTGCTAACGATATATAGGATCGTATTATTCCTAAATTAATTGATTTGTTTTTACGGTTTATCAACCCTTTAGACGTTGTTTAAAGTCAGAAAATATTTTTAGATTGTAAATTATTTTTTTGAGAAAATAATAGTTTAGTGATACAAGTCTTACTAATTTACCCATAGCTGGGGGGAAATAGGTGGATTCATATCTTCCGCAAGAGTATTTGCGCAGAAGTGAATTGAACGGACACAACTAGAAATGGAACTCGGATTTCCAATTAACAACTCAAAGCCTTTATCCATTGCACCACCTGCACATCCACGCTTGCAACACCTACTATTTCCAGGCGGTCACCCATCAAGGCACTGACGAGGTTCGATTTTGTTTAACTTCGGTGATCAGACGGGAATCGGTGTTTCAACGTGATGAGTCGGTAAGTCGATTAAAGTGTCTACAATAAATGAGCCAACTTTGTGACAAGAAAGAAAGGAAGGAAGGAAGGAAGAAAGAAAGAAAGAAAGAAAGAAAGAAAGAAAGAAAAAAGAAGGACGGAAGGAGTTAAGAAAGAAAGAAAGAAAGAAAGAAAGAAAGAAAGAAAGAAAGAAAGAAAGAAAAAGAAAGAAGGAAGGAGTTAGGAAGGAAAGAAAGAAAGAAAGAAAGAAAGAAAGAAAGAAAGAAAGAAAGAAAGAAAGAATGAAGGAAGGAGGTAAGAAAGAAAGAAAGAAAGAAGGAAAGAAAGAAAGAAAGAAAGAAAGAAAGAAAGAAAGAAGGAAGGAAGGAAGGAAGGAGTTAAGAAATAAAGAAAGAAAGAAAGAAAGAAAGAAAGAAGGAATGAAGGAGTTAAGAAAGAAAGAAAGAAAGAAAGGAAGGAAGGAAGGAAGGAGGTAAGAAAGAAAGAAAGTGTTACTTAAGCATTAAGTTACTGTTTCTTGTCCATGGCCCAGTATCCGAGCTACATAAATAACTTCTCTAAAATGTTGTTAATTTAATTTTGAAACAGTAAACTTTTTTTTCTTACAAGCCCTCAGAATCGGATGTAACTGGGGTTCTTATACTCACCCCACACCTCAAACTCATAAATCCCATCACTAACCTTCGATTTATAGGACACAGGGTGTTCTTTTTGGAGATATTCTATAAGAAAAAACTTCTTTATTAAAAAAAAAAGTGCTTAAAATTAAACTAAAAGAAACTATAATGCGAAGAAAATCAAAAAGCGTGTCGTCGATATTTTTGCCAAATTGTTTGCTTAAAATTTAATTATGAAAGAAATAAAAAAATATGTTAATTTTTTTTATGTGGCTGAAGAGATTTGATATTATATACAAATGAATGTTGTTTTTAAGGCACATTTTTCCTAAGTGTACTGACAGACCGATGAACAATTTGTAGACAAAGTGAATGAAAAAGTTTAAAAGACGTCGATTGTAATCATTATTATAAAAACTAATTGGAAGAAGGATTTAAACTTACTGAAATCAATAAGAAGTTTTATCTAAATGTCGATCCCAGCGTGGAAAGAAAATTTAAAGTCCGGATAAATTTTGGTGTTGAATATTGCTTCCATAGCTGACCTAGCGCTGTTGATATGTATGGAGAGATTCTTGACAACATCCAAAGAAGAATCAACAATAATATCAGTCCCGACCTGTCATCTCACCTTCAGTCGGCTTTCTTATCGCCCTAACGTAGCTACCCTGCACCTTTTCGACAAATATTTCTATGATAATTGCTCTTATGAGCTTTCCTTTTTGGTATCAAGACTTTATGAATTTAAGCGTAGTACTAGTGGCAGAGAGTTTACATTTTTTCGATTGAAATTATATGTAAGCGTAAGTTTCATTCGAATAGTTTCTTTTCTCGCACTTCTTGTTTGTGGAACTCTCTTCTGGCTTCTTGCTTTCTTGTCAACTGCGAACTTAAGAAAGTCGTCATTTTCTGTTTCCTTGAAACCTTCACTTCAGTCGCGTTTTCATAGTTTCCATCACTCTCAGTAGCACTCTAGATCTTAGTGGCTTTATCGCCTTTCTTGTGGGGAAATGATAAAAAATAAAAATATAATAAGGGCGATTGCGAGCCAAAAGAGTTTTTATAATGAGAAATCATACACGAAAAAATGGATATCTATTCAATTTATTTTGCAATTACCTATATCTATCTATACATATATACATACACACACACACAGATATATATATATATATATATATATATATATATATATATATATATATATATATATATATATATATTGAAGCATGTCTGAATAAGATTTGTCTACTTATTTTCAATTGGATCCTTTCATATTCACGGACAAGCTTTTGGTATCATTAGTAAAAGAAGAGAGAAAATTACCGTGTTGATACATATTATTTATTCCGAATATTTTCGACATTAGCACAAAATTAGCATCAGGGTGTTGTTTTTTCAAGAAAATATTATTGTGTTCATCATTTTCAAGGACAAAATTTCTGTGTTCATCTGAAAGTTAAAATCTTTTACTAGTTGAGGTCAAGAACGCTGAATTTAGTTATGAGGTTGACGGGAGTAGACAAAACTTGTTTAAATTATTCAATAATCTATATATATATATATATATATATATATATATATATATATATATATATATATATATATATATATATATATTGCAAAGTTGTTTGTTCAAAATAGCTGAGAATTATGAAGGCCGTGGTTAGAGAGAGTAGCAAAGGAACAGAAGACTAAGTAGGGAAAATCAAGATGTTTATTAAATACTCATACATAGAAAACTCCTCAAATTCTACTCTAATATGGCTACTTGCTATATTTATTCGTTGAAGCGGTCCATTATCAAAGTAATAGAGAAGATCAGGAAGCTCCACACAATCTATCTACACAATCTATCTATCTATCTATCTATCTATCTATCTATCCTTGTCCTGTTTGCATCTATCTATCCTTGGCCTGTTTACATCTATCTATCTATCTCTTTATTTCTTTCTCTCTCTCTCTCTCTCTCTCTCTCTATATATATATATATATATATATATCCTTATATTATTCATATATCATATCTATCTATCTATCTATCTATCTATCTATATATCTATCTATATATCCTTGTATACATATATATGGCCTCTTCTCTCTCTCTCTCTCTTTTTATATATATATATATATATATATATATATATATATCATTGGCCTGTTCACATCTATCTATCTATCTATCTATCTATCTATCTATCTATCTACTCTTTTAAGATGACAAGGCCATAAATGATAATTGAAAATTCCGGTTTATTTGTTTAGTTATGGCTTGAACCACATGTCGAAGAATTAATTGAAAATGATCTTCCAACCGAATGTGTAACGTGCATTTGAGGAAGTTGTAGGCAAAATGTCCAAAGAAATCTGTCGACAAAAAATGGCCAAAGGAAAAGCCAAAGGAAATTTTATCACAAGAAAAATATCTTCTTGATCAACTTTGGATATAAATTTTAATTACAAATCGTTCAGAAATAGACGTAAGTATGAAATAAATAAGCAGTTTCGCCTTGTATACGGCCAAATGTTGGTTTTGGTAGATGCTCTTAAAAAAAAAGGGATCCACTGTACATAGGAAAAGGCGGAGATCCATTGTATATAAAAAGTCGAAGATCCATTGTACAACTGAAAAATACATGAATCCATTTGATATCAGAAAAGACAGGGATCCATTTTACATGTGAAAAATGTAAGGGAGACATTTTATATGAAAAAGACCGGGATCTTTTGTAAATGTGAAACTGGCCAGGAATCCATTTTATTTTTTACAAAAAAAGCGATCAAACGATAAAAAAGTCAGGGATTCATTACATATATCAGAAAATAAAGGGATCCATTCTACATATGAAAATGGTCAGAAATCCATTATATATCAGAAAATAAAGTGATCCATTGTGCATGTGAAAATGTTCAGGAATCCATTTATATAAGAAAAGACAGGCATTCATTGCAAATGTGAAAACGTTCAGGAATAAATTTTATATGAGAAAAGAATGGGATCCCTTGTAACTGTGAAAAGGTCCAGGAATCCATTTTATATGAGAAAAGAATGGGATCCATTGTAAATGTGAAAAGGTCCAGGAATCCATTTTATATGAGAACAGAATGGGATCCCTTTTAAATATGAAAAGTCCAGGAATCCATTTTATATGAGAAAAGAATGGGATCCATTGTAAATGTGAAAAGGTCCAGGAATCCATTTTATATGAGAAAAGAATTGGATCTATTGTAAATGTGAAATGGCCCAGAAATCCATTTTATATGAGTAAAGACTGGGATCCCTTGTAAATATGAAAAGGTCCAGGAATCCATTTTATATGAGAAAAGAATGGGATCCATTGTAAATGTGAAAAGGTCCCGGAATCCATTTTATATGAGAAAAGACTGGGATCCATTGTAAATATGAAAAGGTCCCGGAATCCATTTTATATGAGAATAGAATGGCATCCCTTGTAAATATGAAAAGGGCCAGAAATCCATTTTATGTGAGAAAAGAATGGGATCCATTGTAAATGGGAAAAGGTCCAGGAATCCATTTCAGATGAGAAAAGACTGGGATTCATTGTAAATGTGAAAAGGTCCCGGAATCCATTTTATATGAGAATAGACTGTGATCCATTATAAATGTGAAAAGGTCCAGGAATCCATTTTACATGAGAAAAGACTGGGATCCATTTGAAATGTGAAAAGGGTCAGGGATCCATTTTATATGAGAAAAGAATGGGGATCCATTGAAAAGGTCCAGGAATCCATTTTATATGAGAAAAAGGTCCTTTAAATATGAAAAGGAATCCATTTTATATGAGAAAAGAATGGGATCCATTGTAAATGTGAAAAGGTCCAGGAATCCATTTTATATGAGAAAAGAATTGGATCTATTGTAAATGTGAAATGGCCCAGAAATCCATTTTATATGAGTAAAGACTGGGATCCCTTGTAAATATGAAAAGGTCCAGGAATCCATTTTATATGAGAAAAGAATGGGATCCATTGTAAATGTGAAAAGGTCCCGGAATCCATTTTATATGAGAAAAGACTGGGATCCATTGTAAATATGAAAAGGTCCCGGAATCCATTTTATATGAGAATAGAATGGCATCCCTTGTAAATATGAAAAGGGCCAGAAATCCATTTTATGTGAGAAAAGAATGGGATCCATTGTAAATGGGAAAAGGTCCAGGAATCCATTTCATATGAGAAAAGACTGGGATTCATTGTAAATGTGAAAAGGTCCCGGAATCCATTTTATATGAGAATAGACTGTGATCCATTATAAATGTGAAAAGGTCCAGGAATCCATTTTACATGAGAAAAGACTGGGATCCATTTGAAATGTGAAAAGGGTCAGGGATCCATTTTATATGAGAAAAGAATGAGATCCATTGTAAATGTGAAAAGGTCCCGGAATCCATTTTATATGAGAAAAGAATGTGATCCCTTTTAAATATGAAAGGTCCAGGAATCCATTTTATATGAGAAAAGAATGGGATCCATTGTAAATGTGAAAAGGTCCAGGAATCCATTTTATATGAGAAAAGAATGGAATCCATTGTAAATTGGAAAAGGTCCAGGAATCCATTTTATATGAGAAAATATCGTGATCCATTGTAAATGTGAAAAGTTCCAGGAATCCATTTTATATGAGAAAAGAATGGGATCCATTGTAAATGTGAAAAGGTCCAGGAATCCATTTTATATGAGAAAAGAATGGAATCCATTTAAAATGTGAAAAGGTCCAGGAATCCATTTTATATGAGAAAAGAATGGGATCCATTGTAAATGTGGAAAGGGACAGAGTTCTTTTTTATATCAGCAAAGAGAGATCATTTGTAAATGTGAAAAAGGCCATGGATCCATTTTATATGAGAAAAGACAGCGATCCATTGTAAATGTGAAAAAGGTAAGTTATCCATTTTAAATTAAAAAAAACACAGGGATCCATTGTAATTTTGAAAAGGGTCAGAAACCATTCTATATGATAAAAGACATTCTTAAATGCAGTGACATTCTTAAATGCAGTGCAAATTTAAAGGAGGAGGTCAGGAATCCATTTTATA